AGGCTGGGGTCGCACTGGTACAGCGCCACCTACCACACAACAACACTAAGGACCTGTCCCACCGCTGGCTGATAGCTCAGATAGCTTAAAAATGACGTCTGTATCAGTAAAGGGTACAAAACCCGATATTTCCATCACAAAACACGTTTGATTGTTATCAGACAATTTACAATTTGCTAGGACTGACACTAAGGGCCTGTCACACCACTGGCTGATAGCTCATATAACTTAAAATGACATCATTGTCAGATAAGGGAACAATCCGATATTCCCATCACATATTTTACACGTTAGATTGTTATTACACTATTTACTATTTAGTGAGACAGGCCGTTAGCGGCTTATCTGTACTTATTTGCAATCACTGGAGTAATATGTATTTAGTACATTTGTGGTGAATATAGTTTACTATTTATTGCATTTTCACTAAAACATAAAAAAGCCGCAAATATCAGGAGGAAAAGAGACAGGCTGATTCTATTTATTCTTAAAAGAGATCAAGGAAGAATCAGTTATGCGTATTTTATTCTTTGTAGTATTAAGGTAACAGTAATTTATATTGTCGTTGCTTATGGAAAAAACCATTTTTTTAAATTTCGTCTGTGTTTGTTCCTGATAATCTCCGGAACGGTTGAACCGATTTTGACGGGGTTTTGACTGGAAGGTAGTTAATGAGTTCGGGAATGTTATAGATTACTTTTTTATTATTTTTTTAAATTTGCTGACGATACATGAATGAATGAGTTAATTGCTAGTCAATATACCTTATGTTTGTCCTCCTGCTGCGCCAGCCAGGAGCTGAGACGGTACTCGTTGTTGGGGTCCATGATGGTGAGACCCAGTAACTTGCGGATCACGTCCGAGGTCAATCTTACAGTCGGACCTTTGGATATAAAATGTTATACTATGTGTGTCTAAAGCGGCTATACTTATATTGCTGAAATTTGACAGAGAACATAGCCTAGAAGGACTTATGGTAATAATTATTTTTGTAATCCTGCGCAAGCAGAGACGCGGAAGACATTTAGTTTTTATTACGATAAACTAAGGGAAAAACGCTGATTTCAAACGGTTTGGTGTACTTTCCATACTTTTTGATATAATTTACACATTTCTCCTCTCGATTGGATTTTCATTTGTATATCCTTTCATTCGTATCCTGTACTACAACCCATTTAAGTCAGGCAGTTGTTCAATTTTCTCAACGACATTTCTTTCATTTTATATTACTAATATAAATGTTTAGTAATAATATTCTTGTCAGTATAAATGGATTTTTATAAGAAGAAATCTCCATAACAGTTTAACAGATCTAGCTGAAATTTGACACAGGTATAAAAGATAGAAACACATGTAATTTGTGGCATAGTACTCACCGATGGCACTAAGGGAGTGATACAACTCGTAAGTGAAGGCTGTGAGGGGCACATCGTCCCCTACAGGCACCACG